GAGTACGTACTACTTCTTCTAACTAGTAGTACGTCCCTCCGTCGTTCCTACTTGTTTCTACCAACGTACTTCGTCTCTCGTACGGGACGAGAGGACGAGATGACTACTCTCTCTCTCTCTCTCACTCTCTCTCTCTCTCTCTCTCTCTCTCTCTCTTTCTCTCTCTGATTGATGAAAGAAGCTTATTAAAGCTTGAAATGAAAACATATATTCTCATCTCACAATTGTAATCAGATTTAAGACTCTAAAACAATAGGGCATCATAAATATAAGGTTTTAAATGAAATATATATTCTTACAACTAAGAGGGTTGGCTTACACAGTAGGACTTAATAAAACAATGAATCGCTCTAGACTATGCCTAGTGTAAATTAAGGATCTAAAATAATGGAACTTTAAGCTATGCGAAAAAAGGACCGGTTTTAAACATCATGGAACTTATGATTCCTAAATAATGGGAACTTCAGATAATGGCAATCTCTAACCTGGTAGCATCCATTAATGAAAGTAGAACCCACAAACATGGAACCCAAGATTTTAATGTACCAAAACCTTGGGCCATGATTGTTGGGAGTGGGGATCTATTTCGAAATGGCACTAGATTCCACTGTTGAATGTAATGTGGTCCCTTTTTTTGGGAGCAAGTTCCCAAAATCGAAAAAAACGGGGTCCCTACAAGATCCATTGCAAGAACCGTGGGATCAAGGTTTCGAACCGGGATTGTCACCCTACCCACAAGGTTCCCTTAACCATGCGTAGGCCTAATACACACCTAGTTAGGAGGTGCAATTTGGCCAAAGTGGAAGGGCTCTAAAAGGGAAAGGGTAAGGCCCAAATATACATGGATGAAATTCGTGAGAACAAATATGGTAACTTAACCTTGCAAAGAGTGGAAGGGCGGAACATGATTCATGTAGCGGACCCCAAATAGTTGGGGTAAGGCTTGGATAATGATATATACATATCGAGCTCGCCGAGTGTAGTGATACTTTGTGTAATCCAACATTGCTGTTGTTACTGATTTTCAAATCATAGCTGGCAATATGTATAGCAAGAGTATTTTTTTAACCAAAAAGTTATTATTAAATTTGTTTTGGTCCAAATAACTAGCCAAATAAATGAGTGCTAGAAAATTGTGGAGTGAAGAAATGTGATTGGTGTAGATTTGATTGAAAAAATTGGGTGTAAAGAAAAGGGTATTTTTGAACCAAAAAGTTACTATTAAATTTGTTTTGGTCCAAATAACGGGCCAAATAAATGAGTGCTAGAAAATTGTGGCGTGAAAAAATGTGATTGGTTTAGATTTGATTGAAAAAATTGGGTGTAAAGAAAAGGGTATTTTTTGAACCAAAAAGTTACTATTAAATTTGTTTTGGTCCAAATAACGGGCCAAATAAATGAGTGCTAGAAATTTGTGGAGTGAAAAAATGTGATTGGTTTAGATTTGATTGAAAAAATTGGGTGTAAAGAAAGGGGTTTATGTGTAATTTGTGTATATGTCTATGGGGTGGTAGTTGATTATATTAACTTTGATGACAAACAGAGAATTTCAATGATAATGCAAGTAATTAATTGATGAACTAATATTCATGCCTTGTATCACAATGCCATGACTAATTTAACAAAGAAGATTAAACTTAAGGTATTTTTAGAATTGTTTTGATTTTTTTGAGTAGTTTTGTTTTCTATAAACATAATATGGTTGTGTTCAATTTAATTCCAAAAAATCAAATTTTTGAAGTCATTTCGAAGATCACACTTATTAATATATTATTCAAAAAATTGAAGAAAACACATTTTTAATGGAGTTCTGCTATTCTGGTTTCAACTGGCTAATTAGGTGAGTCTAATGGTTGATGATCTGAACGACCTCCTTACTGTGTCCATTAACCAATCCACGAGATTAGTAACTCGATCATTGTGTCAACCCTTTGTTCTAATTTGTGTTCTGCAGACACTTTCTTTCATGCAAATTTTCAAAAGAAAACACTTTTGTCCAAGATTGTTAGCTCTCATAATTTGAACTTGTGTATCATGGAACACGTCATGATTGATTTAGAGTGATGCAATGAACGAAAATTCGTCTGCCTGGCTGCTTAGGCTGCTATTTTCTTAAACGCCTAGGTGTGGTCTAGGCCTAGTATGTTCCAGGTGGGTGCATCTAGGCGGCATAAAAGGCGGCTGCGTCGACCAATCGAGACTGAGGGCAGAAATTGCCGCTTGGCAGTTGGGTAAATTTGCCATTTCCCTCCCTTGAAACGGGGGGATAAGGGTTTTGGGGGCCATTCTTGCCCCCGAAAATGTTTTTAGTGAATTTTAGAGTGTGAAAAACCTTGAAAAAAACAAGATTTGAAGATTTGCAAGGGATCAAAATTTTTTTCAACCTCCTCGAATGCTCACAAAATTAAAAGATCATCCCCAGTCTTTTTGAGGCTTATAGTGATTTTAAAAGAGGAGATTCATGAACCAAAACTTTTTGGTTTGGGCCGATATCGGTTCCATTTCAAGAAGGTTGGTATATTTAATATTTTGATTAGGTTATTTATTTATTTGTTCACGAAGTCTTCATTGCTTTTTGTATTTTCTGTTTGATACTTTATGATATATATATTTGATATATTATTGATTATTTGGATTATTATTCACCCAAAAAAAAATATTTGGATAATTTTCCCATTTTGATATTTAGTTTGGGTCTTTGGGAAAGCAATTCAATGGAAATGGTCCATTGCTCCCATTCCGAATGAATTTTTATTTTTATTTAATTTTATGCATGAGTTTACTTGTATGATTCATAAACCATAATTTTAACAAATTGCTTATTAAATACTTGCATGAGTAATTCATTACCAAAAAAAAAAAATTGCATGAGTAATATGTTTTTTTTTATTGTGTTATATCATTGCAATTTTGATGTGTATGTTGTACCTAATTTTTTGTTTCTTTTTTTTCCTTTATCATGCTTGCTTTAATTCGTCCTTGGATTGTTAAGAACTGAAGATATTAATGGGTCAATGTGACAATTCTTTCCACTTCATTTCCTATTTGTAATTTTTCGGATGATGACTAATTTTAAATTTCAAATATTTAAACTAGTAGTTGTAAATTAATCTTGCTTTTTGTGTATGTATTTGCAATTTTCACTTCTTGTAAATGTCAATTCTATGTACAATAAAGGCAGGCGAGGTGTGGGGGGTCCAACAATCCTCAAGGATCTGTCCCTCCTTCCCAATGCAGGCTGCCTTTGTGTCTGTGCACCCGCCTTGGGGCCTAGGTGGCCCAGACCCCTGGCCTCCTAGGAGGCTGCATCTGCCTTCATGGAATGACATGTGACTTGCCAAGGCTTGAAATGCCATGTAAAATGGGCGATCACATGTATAGTGATGGCATATGCATAGTAACCGCTTAAAATTGTTGGATCTACCCTATAATATTTGGATGGTTTTTTCTAGATAATTTGTTGCTAGAGATATGAATGCTCACATATGAGTGAGAACAATAAGCTGGATCCTAATATTTCAGTTAAAAAAAATTAAAATCTTAATTTAATCTACTAGTTTATCTGAAATGCTTCTTCATGATTCCGCATAATTATAGAAATAACAGTGGCAAGTGGAATCCTTTGTGACTCTTTGAGAAGTCCGAGTTTCGATGAAGTTTATGTGATTGTGATCAGTACAATCTCTAAGTACATCTCAAAAATGACAAGGGCTTCCATCCTGTCCTCATATATTTGTAGTTGCGGAACATGTGTGATATATTGATTCTATATTATCTTTCCCTCGCAATTTGCAATGAGAAATCAGCTGACGCGTCACCTCCTTAATCTTTGAGGTAACCCTCACTGAAATATTATTTGAACACACTACAACAATCAATCTAAAGTGTGTAATATCCTTTCTTTTTCCAATTGTATGGAATTTTTTCACTGGTAGTTTACAGAAATTTATCATTATTGGATACTGAAGGCCTTCTATTGACTTCGGAGTTTGTTACTTGATACCAATGGCTTTCTATGTGATTCAGAGTTGCTCGTCTCTGAGTGTTGTCTTTCTTTTTGTTGCACACGATATTTCTTCTATAGGAAGTCCATGTTTCTTCTGATTTGGAGTTTTTCGTTGTTTTTGTTAAACCATTATATATGAGGCTGATGTGACTGGGATCTGGATTCCTGGCACGTTATAAGAAGTTAAGAATTAACAGCTTTATTGCTATTTATTTATTTTTCTTTTTTGTATGCTCAGACTTGGGTTATGTATGGAATTTCAGCGTTTTTGATTGGTCTTTTATTTCTGGTTTTTTGTTCTAATTCATCGAATGATGCAATGTTTGTCAAATTTTTTTGGTTGCTAGTATGGTACATTGGAAAGAACAAATTGGTGAGATGCATGTTTGGGACAAAGTTGCATAAAAGAACACCAAAAGCAATTGGTAGCATGAAATCTCAAAACAGATCACAAAAAGCTAGTGTGATTATTTTGGTGTTCCCAAGATACAACCCTTGGTCCTAGACTAATGTAATGTGATTTTGCAGGTTGACCCGGTACAAAGGCTTTAAGGAGGGGCACAAGCGGATTCTTGTGGCCACTGATCTGGTTGGCAGGGGGATAGACATTGAGCGTGTGAATATTGTGATAAATTATGACATGCCCGAATCTGCAGACACATACTTACACAGGGTAATTTGCCTTGAAGTGATCATTGATCTTTAAGAGTATATGTGTGTGTGCTTGTGTGTGTGCGTGCACTTGAGTGCGTGCATGTGCATGCTCTGTTTGTTTGTGTATATGTGAGATTCATTTTCTTATCTATGACACTTGGATTTCTTTCTATTTTCTTTGTATTTCAGGTTGGTCGTGCTGGTCGGTTTGGTACCAAAGGACTAGCAATCACATTTGTCGCCTCTGCTTCTGATTCAGATGTCCTTAATCAGGTTTGTTAAAGTTGATTGTCCTTTTGTGTGTGTGCATGGTTGTTCCTGATATCTGAAACATCTATTTTTTTTTTTTTCTAAATGTTGAGAAAGCATCAGAGACTTGTTAAACTTTATGTATTTCGAGTTATTTTGTTGCTTTCACCTGATTTTCTGTTATAAAACCTTTCTGATTTTGTGTTCCAAAAGATTTTATGCTATTATTCTCCCGTGGAGCATAATATACTGAAACCATAGCTAGGATCACTAATGATTTTTTTTCCTTTTCACTTTATAAATCCAATGAACCCCAAAATTTGGGGACATGTGGGCATGACCTATGTGTGCCGGAAACAATGCAAGAAATGGGCCAAAATAACCTCTTTTTTGTGAACGCTGGCCATCCAGATCGATCTTGATGATTCGAACTGGGCCATTGGGCTGATACTGTTCCCTCAGCTTGTGGCTTATAGAATCTCTATCTATATATTTATACACACACATGATCCAAAGAGTATATGCTCCTGGCTCTTGGGTAAATTTTTGGACCTGAATGTTTAGGATCTAAGCTTTCGACCTAGCAATCGACCTTTTAAAAAACATATTCTGTA